CCCCCCCCAAAAAAAAACCCATAAGAAAACAAAACCTCAAAAACGTGACTAGTTTGTCATAGAAAAATTAGAATGCTATGTGAAGGAGCCAGGTAGGCATCTGGAAAGAAAGGGTGACCACCGGTCCTGTGTGTTAGCTCCATATGGATGTTGATATTGTAGCAGATGGAACTAGATTAGTCTAACATTGTTTATTTTCTGGACATGTCTTTCCTTTTAGAAGAACATCTATTATTAAGTCTTCCCCACCCCAGTTCTCTAGTTTTTCTAGGATACCTTGTTTGTATGCCAGTAGGCTGGCTTCAGTTATTTACAGGAGCCTTTTCCTTGCTCTCTGTGGCTTCAGTAGAGAGAGGCCTGCTTCAGTCTCTGGTGGAATTTATCTGGGATTCTTTTCATGGAAGGGTTAGTCTTTCCAGGGTTCTGACTCTGTGTGTGGGACCTGGGCCCAGCACCCTTCCTCTCCTCCCAATGGGCTCTTTCCTGTCCCTGCCATACCACACTCCTACTCTAAACTTAGGACCTGTGGCTCCATGTGACACTCCCTTGGACCACCAGAGCTCCAGCTTACTCTGTTTATTCTGAGCTTAGGGAGGTCTTGGTTTCTGGCCCCTGGGATTTCCTTATTTTCTCCTGAAGAGCACAGTTTGGGTGTGTTTTGGGGGGTAGTATTAGTTTCCTAGGGCTGCTATAACAAATTGCACAGGCTGGGTGGCTGAAAACAACAGAAATGTATTCTCACAGTTTTAGAGGCCAGAATTCCACTTCAGGGTGTGGGCAGAGGCTAGCTCCTTCTCAGGGCTCTGACAGAGAACCTGTCCTTTCTCCTAGCTGCTGGGGCTGGCCAGTGTTGTGCCTTGGCTTTGCGGCTTTCACTCCAGTCTCTGCCTCTGGTGTCAGTCACATGGCCATATTTCTTCTGGCTATGTCTGTTAAGAACATTTTTATTTCTTCCATAACCATAGAATACAAGTTTCCTGGTTTTTTCAGGACATTGATCTGAAGTGTTCAGATTCATAAACTTAAATTGTATGATCTATATAAGCATAAATCCAGACCTGCTGATTTATTATTTTCACATTATTTTCTCAAATTTTACAGCCCTCAAAAATATAATGGTTTGTGCTTAAGCTATTTAGAGATGTTTGTACATTTTTCAAAAATAAAATTTAATTCTGAGTTTTTTAATTTTCAGCCAGAAAACCTTGCTCAGAAGCTTCCAAACCTGGTGGAACTGTGAGTGTATTTATTCAATTTAAAAAAAAAAAAAAAAAATGAAAATAATTTTAAGTTACTTGAAATAAAAGGAAATATAATTCAAGGTAGTGAAGATCATGAAATGTACAATTTTTCTTTGTGCAGCGTCTTGGTCACAGGATCATTCTGGAGAGTCCATGTAATTGGAAACATTTATTATTATTACTACTACTCCATGTGATACTTGATATAAACAGTCAAACACTATAAAAGATTTAAAATGTAGCATAAAAGCCTTCTTGCCTGCATCCTCCAAGCTTCATTTGTTTTAGTTCTTTTGATGATTACCTTCATGATGCTAAATAAAGTTTGCTACTTTGTTTTTAGTGTATCAACTTTAAGTATCTCTGTGCCTTTAGTTTGGACAAATTGCCTTTCCCTGTCTTCAGGGTCAGCAATATTTTCTTTTTCAGTGTCTAATCTGCTGTTAGTCCCACATTGGTTGTACTTTTGATCTGTAGAAGTGCTGTTTGGTTCTTCTTTATACTTTGTCATTTCTGTTACAATATTTTTTCTTTAAATACCTGAATATAGTTATTACAGCTGTTCTAATATTCTCGCTTGCTAATTCCATCATTTGTCATCCAGGGTCTGTTTGTGTTGACTTGTTTTTATCCTGATTATTGATCACATTTTCCTGATTCCTGGCATGTCTAACACATTTTTGTTTGGATGCCAGACCTTATAAATTTTACAGTATTGAGTGTCTAGACTTTGTTGTCCCCCGTTTTGTTGTACTTTGTTCTAGCGTGTGGTTATTTGCTGTTTAGCGTCATCCTTTTATGGCTTGACTTTATACTTTGTTTGGACAAGTCTAGAGTAACCTCTGTTCTAGGGATAGTTTAGCCCTATTACTAAGGACATAGGCTTTCTAGGATCTCTTTGGGGTACCCCAACTGATCATCAAAGACTTTGTGCACTTGCCGCTCAGAACTTGAATGCCTTCCAGCCCTGTGTGTGCTCTGTGGATCATTTACCTGATGGCTTTTCAGCTGTGTTTTCGCTAAAGTGCATTTTGAATTCAACTAAGATCAAATAATCCCTTATTTAAATTTTTGGAGGTTTTGTTTTTTGGTAGTGCCCTCTCTCTGGAACTCTCCCCCACAACTTCTAGCTGCCTCAGTTTCCCTGAACTCTGATATGTGTCTCCATAATTCATTAAGACTTCCATACTATGTTTTGGATCCCATTTCTGTTCCAACGGCCCACAGTTTGCCTCCAGGGAGAAAACTAGGGAAATTGTGTGGCTCACCTCACTGGTTTCCTTCCTTTCAGGGAACATAGTCCTGGTTGCCCATTGTCAATATTTGAAAATAATCATTTTATATATTTTATTCTGTTTTCATGTTGCTTGTAGCAGTTGGGTCCCTATTATTCCATCCTGGCTGGAAGTGAAAGTCTTGTTCCTTCAACTTTTAAGAAAAATTTAACCATTTTATTTTGGAACAATTTTATATTTACAAAAAAAGTTGTAAAGATAGAGAGTTCAAGTATANCTCACCTCACTGGTTTCCTTCCTTTCAGGGAACATAGTCCTGGTTGCCCATTGTCAATATTTGAAAATAATCATTTTATATATTTTATTCTGTTTTCATGTTGCTTGTAGCAGTTGGGTCCCTATTATTCCATCCTGGCTGGAAGTGAAAGTCTTGTTCCTTCAACTTTTAAGAAAAATTTAACCATTTTATTTTGGAACAATTTTATATTTACAAAAAAAGTTGTAAAGATAGAGAGTTCCTCTCAACCAGTTCCTCCCATTGTTAACATCTTCTAATTTCATGGTACATTTGTCAAAACAAACTTATATTAGCATATTACTATTAAGTAATGTCTATATTTAATTTTTATTTAAAAAACAAACAAACGCCCTGCCAAGCCATTTTCCAAAGTGGCTGAACTATCTTGCATCCCCACCAGCAATGAATGAGAGTCCCAGACTGTACAAGTAGAAGAACATGTTGAACACTAGTTACATTGAAACACCGATATTTCAACTACTTTGGGCTTTAAAAATTTAAGAGAGATGACTTAAATTGCTAAGCTTATGATTACAAACGACTCATGATAATAATAATCGTAACGATAACAATAGCATTCATTGAACTCTGTTCTGAGAGCTTCGCATGTTTTGATTCATTTCATTCTTACAACATCCCTGTGTTATAATTGGTGCTATTACCATCTGCTTCTATAGAGTAAGTAATTTTCTTTTGGTCACATGGTGGTAAAGGTGCAGGCAGTCTGGCTGCAGAGCCTGCTCTCCGACCCACTCTAACAGCGATGGTTCTTAATCAGTTGCACATCACAGTAACCCAGGGAGCTGAGATGGTGTTTCATTTGGTACAGGGTGGTGGTGTGCACCAATATTTTGAAACCACTTGTGATTCTGATATGTAGGCAGGATTGGGAACATTCTGTACTTCTGTATACTACATCTTCAATATAATGTAGACACATTTAATATGCCGAAATATACTTTTTTATTTCAATCGTAACAGTGAGTGCTTAGGTCATACTTTGATTTGGACATTTTAAGGTTCATCATCACAGGTAGAACTGGAACTGAAGCACATATTTTGTGGCATTTTGAAAATCAGCTTTCTCTTTTATTTTGGTGTCTAGGCACTCTGACTTTTGTGTAACAAATGCACGTGTGTGTGTGTGTGTGTGTGTGTACACATGTGCACTATTTATATCGTTAAAAAACAAAATTCAACTGAGTAAATTTAAAGGTCAAATTGGATTTTTTTAAAAATTCATGCAGCAAGCAGCATCCCGTCTTGCAGACAGAAGAAGAGCTGTAGAAAAGGAAAGGCTTTTAAAGGCAGAAAGAGGATGGGCCAAAGAAGTTATTTAGCAAAGAACTATTGTTTCAGGCAAGGTCACCTTCCTCTGGTGGACAGCAGGGGGCTAGCAGACAGATTACCTCACTAGTTCTGACCAGGAAATTCCAGACTGACTGGTTAAGATTATATTCCTGGGAGAAGCTGGAACTGCACTTGGGTTAGGTTTTGAGCCTCAGTTTGGGTTTGCTCATGTGGTCTTAGTGTAAGTGACTCCATTTTGGGCCTGTTGTCTCTTTTTAAAGAACATTTAGTGTTTTGGCACAAAGAATTGTTAGAGTCACCTGATAAGTTAGATTTTTCTCCCTAAAATTAATGTTTAAAGAATAATGATTTTTAACATGTGAAATTATTTTACGTACTCAGGACAAGGAATAAAATATATCATGGAATGGTGTAATTGTTTAAATTGTGTTAAACCCAGCAGGTAAATATGTACTTGAAAATTGATTTAATCCAGCACAGAATAATCTTCTTAAATTTATTAACGTTCTTTCTTATTCTGTTTCATTGACATTTTAACATTTGATATAAAACTTAAAGATGTAGAAGACTACTTCAAAATTCAATTTTAAAAGAGTTTATGAAGATTGATTTATGGGGTATAATAAATAAAATAAAATATTTGGAAGTAAAGTTTATTAAAATCTAGTTTTCTTCTCTCAAAATCAATGATACAAATTTATTTTAAAAATTATTACTGCGTTTTCTCTAGTGGTCATTATTGTTTTGCTCTGAATCCTTGGCTGCTTCTGATTACATAAAACTTCCACCAGAGGGTGCTGAAGACACCTCAGTGGGAGAAGGAGAAGTGTTTTGGCCTGGACTTGTCAGCCCTGGTGAACTTTTTTTTTTTAAGAGAATTTTATTCTTGTTTATGAAATTCCTTTTGCTGAGAAATAAATTCTGTACCTTGACAGTTGAGTATTTCTACAGATACAGTAAATGATGAGTATTTAATCTCTCCCGAATTCTTGGTTCTCAGTAAGCATGCTTGCTGGCTGGAAATAGCTCTGGTTTGATTATTTTGTGAAATTTTCCTTTAGAAACTAAAAGTTGCATTTTCCTGTACACAATAAGTGCTGATTTTTCTTTACACAATAACTGTATCTCTGAAAACCTGAAGAATTTAAAATGAAGTAGAGAAACTAATAATTTATGAGGTTGAAAAAATACCTCATAGTTTTTCTATTGTGTATCTTTTATTTTAAAATAGCAACTAAATCAATAAATAGTTTTAATATTTGCAATTCCAGCATAAGTATTATTTTTAAAGTATTACTAGTTATGTGATGATCATATATTTTCTGTTATGTTCTCAGGGTGGGGTGTGAAAGAAAGTTTGGTCCCTTTATATTTGATAAATTTCTAAGTGAGCATTTTACAAACCTATTCTTTAGCAGAAGACCTGAATGATAACAGCTTTTTTTTTTTTGTCTTTTCCTCAGGTACCTTCATTCAAATAACATAGTTGTGGTTCCCGAAGGTAAGTAGGTGCAGGTCCAATTTTTAGTTAGGAGACACTATAGTTTAAGCTTTCCTTTATAATAGTAGAACAGATAGTCTCCTTAAACTTATTTTGGTTGATGTATTAGTGAATTTTAATTATAAAGTATCTTTAATTTATTTGTTTCAAAGATCCGCCCCCCCCCCATTAGTAAATTCAGTTAAGAATTATGATTAGCCTGGCTGGCATGGCTCAGTGGTTGAGTGTCGACCTTTGAACCAGTAGATCAAAGTTCGATTCCCAGTCAGAGCACGGGCCTGGGTTGCAGGCTCCTCAATCCCCAGCAGGGGGCGTGCAGGAGGCAGCTGACCAGTGACTCTCATCATTGATGTTTCTCTCTCTCTCCCTCCGTCTCCCTTTCTCTCTGAAATCAATAAAAATATATTTTAAAAAAAGAATTATGATTAAATAAAAAGTCCAAAATGGTTTTAAAGATTAGATAAATTATTAGATATATTGTTATTGGGTAAATAATAAAAGGATAAGTTCTGAGTTCAATAAATACAGTTAAGAATTTTGGTTACATTTAAAACAACCTTATCTGTTGTTTCATGAATTATTTATTTATTCAAGCAATATTTTACATTGTTTTAAAATTTTTTACTTGTGCTCTTTTTTAAGTTTTTATGTTTTATATAGAGGTAGAAGTCTTACCACTTCCAAGAAATTTAGTTTTATGTATGTTTTTATTATTTTATGAGCAACTGAAATGGTGGTATTAAGTATTAAAATATTTTAACTTGGAGTACTTGCATTAAAGGTATGGCATAATACTCGGGTCAAATTGATTTTGCCTTTACCCTTCTTTTCTCTTTGAAGCCATTGGGTCCCTTGTAAAACTCCAGTGTTTGGATCTTAGTGACAATGCCTTAGAAATTGTTTGCCCAGAAATTGGTCGCCTGAGAGCTTTACGTCATCTTCGATTAGCTAATAACCGACTGCAATTCCTACCTCCAGGTAATCATAGTCTGTAGCACACAGTATCTTGTCTCTTACAAATCTGTTTTTATTCACATTTCTCACCGTGTGTCTAGGCAGTGGGCTTTGGATATATTTGTAAGTATTTGATTTTCCATTTGTTTGACTGTGAAACTAAGAAATGTGGGGGAAATGTGACAAGTCTTTTCTCTGATGCAAACATAAGAAGGTGGCATTTATGTTTTTGAGCTACAGTTACCACAATTGAGCGTTGGTCTTCAGACCACTGCTCTGGTGAAATATTTGTACAAAAAGCTACTTCAGTTCGGTAGTTCAGTTCTGAATTTCACATCAGAGAATTTAGATGAACTTTGCGTGATGCAGTCAGTTTAGTATTGAAAAGGCAGATACATACAATGTTTTCTCTCATTCTCTAGTGAGATAATGGATGTGCATTAATTTTACTTCAATAAGAAACCATATTAGACTTTAGTAGCACAATTTAAATTTGGTCGTAGGATTGTCAGTGCGCCTAGTGGACATTCTGTTGGATCGTGATATGTGTATAGACAGTCTCGAAATGCTGCACTAATCCCTTGGCTGTCTCATGAGGGACATCCTGAGGCCCTCCTTTGTGAATCCACATATTTGCAAATTCTACTGTCATATGTTATTTCCCATATTTTAAAAAAGGTATAATATTTAAAGATTTTTTTAAAACTTTCAGGCGTTCCATGAAAATTATTCTGCATTCAAGAATGAGTGGAGAAAAAATAGAGAGATCACATTGGCTGTGATTATTTCTATTTAATAACTCAGGAACACCAGCCAGACTTAGTATATCTAAGTGAAATATGACTCAACCACAATTACAAATTACTACCTGTCATGGAACTTTATGGTCTCATGAGAATATTAAAAAGTATTCATGTTGCAGGCTCGATCCCCTGCCTCGGTCAGGGCACGTGTGGGAGGCAACCAGTTGATGTGTCTCACACCCATGTTTCTCTCTCTCGCTCTCCCCCCTCCCTTCTACTCTCTCTAAAAAAATCAATGGGGAAAAAATCCTCATGTTAAATCCATGAATGAAAAAAAATCTATAATATTTCTTTATGATTTAAAAAACTTTCTCCAAAGTTTTTCAAGAACAGAAATTTCTCTATGAATACATAATAACTGATTAATTTTTAGACTTCATGTGCTGGCCCTCACATACAGGTTTGATATTGTTTACAAAAATGGTACTGATAATAGCAGTCACTCTGTGCGAAAAATAAATTTTTAACCTCATATAATGTCTTTCTTTTTCCAACTATAGTTAATGTAAGAATTTTCAATACGGTGTAGGAATGTGGCCTTTCCTGCAGACTCTTACTGTGTGTAATTAGGCTCAGTGGGGTTTCATCATTCTAGCTTTGTCAAGCTTATATATTCAGATACTCAGGAAATTAGATTCTCTTTTGGGGATCACCTAGAAAATATATTATTAAAATAATACTTTAAATGTTTATGTTTTCATATCTGGAACTTATGAAGATATACTATGGCAGCAAGATGTATTTGTAAGCCCTCTTTGTGTATGTTTAATAACACGTGAGAATATAATTCGGCTAAGCCATTGTCCTTTGTATTCTATTCTCTTTTCCTGTAACGTAAGACACTTTGTGGTAGAATGTGGCCGTTTCCTTCCATTATATACTCTCAGAGGCTAAGGATGTGCGACTGATAGCATTGACTGCTTCCGCGTCACCAGTGAAGGCCACAGGTTTCCTGCTACTTGCATGTCATTTTTTATTTATGTCTCCCCTGTTGCTTAATAGAATTGAGGCCTTCATCCCTGATCTTATTTCCTTAGCTTATTTCTGTAGTCTGTGTGTCTTTGCTTACTTTGAGTAAAACTCTATGGAGTAATAGCAGTGTATTTTGAATAGAAAGTTTCGATTGAGCCATGTATAGATTTCTTTTCCTTCTGGGCCATCATGAATAGCAGTGGACTAGGTCCTGCTATTTGATTCACTTTACATATCTCTTTATGTAAAGTGAATCAAATTTGAATGGGTGAGGGGCTAGGTAAACCTCCGCAAATGCTTGATCATGTTTGGGCACATACTATGGAAATGTATTTTAATTACAGTAAAAAAAAAAAAAGAAATGTGAGGGATGCCACGTTGTTTCCATTTGATGACGATAGACACCAGTTGCTATGTGATCGATCACCCTTCTACCTGGTCCATGCTAGTACGAGTAGACTTCTTATGTATTATATTTCCCCGAAGAGCTTAACATTTTACTATGTGTATTTGTTGTGGTTGAAGACCCTTTGAATGTAAGATCATAATCAGTATTTAAAATTTGAAAAACTTTAGAGCACATTTGAAAAGTTTGGAACATTTGAAATATCTAGTGGATGGAGAGTTTTAAAATTAGGATCTAAGATTGGATTGCAGGGGTTTCGTGAACGCTCTTAATTGTACACATTTTGATGCTTGTTGTATGTATATATTGCTGTCACTTTTGGAATCGATTTAGAGTTCTTGTATTTAATGTCTTTTTCAGCGGCTACATTAAAATTTTTCTCTTTGTCTTTGGTGTTATCAGTTTGTTTGTGATTTGCCACAGTGTAGGATTTTAAAAATATTTATCCTACTTGGGGTTTGGCGTTTTTTTTTTCCTATTTCCAAATTGGGAAGTTTTCTGTCATTCCTTCTTTACATATTTTTATGTTCCATTTTTCTCTTTTAGGAACTCCAGTTACACACATTAGGTCATTTGATGTTGTTTCACAGGTCACTGAGACTTTGTTCTTTTTCTTTTTTTTCTTCTCCTAATCTAAAGGTTGGATGACATCTGTTGATCTCCCTTCTACTCCATGAATTTCTTTTGTGCTCTCCAGTATGCTGCTTATTAAGCCCCTCTTCACCCTCTCACAGCTCCTTCCTTCTTGGTACCCTGTCCTGCATTTTCCAGCTGCTTCAGCCGCCCAGATCCCATCTCCAGCTCTCTCTCAGACTGCTGAGCTCTGCTTGGGTTCCACTCTTGTGCCCCTTGGCAGAAAGCCACATCCAACATGGGCTCACCTCTTGTGTTTCCCTTATTTCAAGGATCAAGGTCCTGAATTTCCTGTCCGTTGCTTGCAAACAGTTGCCTCATATATTTTTGAGTAGTTTTATTGTTTTATTTTGGTAGGAGGCACTTGTGGTGTCACTGACCCTGTCACATGTGGAACTGGAAGTCCTATGTATGTTCTTTGATTTCTCATCTGATTGTTTACTTGCATTATTTTATATACGTAAGTTATATACCACTTAAACATTTATATATTGCCTTCTCCTACTTCCAGAACCAAAACTGTAACATTATTTGTTACAGAACAAATTTAAACTCATTTCCTTCCAAAGTCTTATTCTAACTTGAGTAAAATTGTGTTATCTATTAAGAAGAGAAATATTGTGCGCTTATAAATAAAGGGTTATTGAGGAAAGATTTCCATCAGTGCGGAGCTACTTGCCAAACATTTTGTAATTCACCCTTGGTCAAAGCCACAAGGGACCATAGATATTAGAGGAGTCAGAAAAACCAGCTAACCTTTGATAGTCAAGAGAAGCCTGATGCTTTTGTGATTTATTATAAACTGTGAACTCTCATGAGAGAAGGTTTCAGTAACAAACAAAATGTAACCAGGAGTCAGAAAAGATGTTGCTTACATCTGGCATATAAATCAGCCTGTTTTTCTGAAATGCTTTTATCTTTGAAAAGTTGTTTTGCATACCAAAAAAGGAAGGGTTTTTAGCCCAAATTAAAAACCTGAAAGCAGCCTACCTTGTACTTCAATGGATAAAAAGCTTGCAAAACACAGAAAAATGTCCTACATATAACTAGCTGGAATTGTTCCTAAAACTCAGACTTCAAGTATGGTTAAGTTTTTGCTTTGTTAGGTTTTTTTTGTTAAAATTTATTTTTCCTCCCAGTTGAGTTTCTATTGCTTTATTAAAATGAAATTTAGGATCTCTTCTTTGATCTGTCCTGTTGCCACCTAACTTGTTCAGAAATCTCTGTCTCATTGGTCTATAAGGTTCAGGTAGGGAGGAGGAGATCAGCCGCCTTCCTACAGAGGCCATAGAAGGAAGCAGAGCCTGCTCACTCTAGGGCTTCCCCATTGCTCACTGCCCCGTGTGCTGAGACCTCACTGCCATAGCCTGACAGTTAATATCACAGGCTGCAATGATGCTTCTGAGGCGCTGACCCCACTCCTGTAGCTATGAGATAGGCGCTCCCCTTTGCAGTCCCTGGGTTGCAGTTTCTAGGAACGCTGGGTGGCCCCAGGATAATGTCAGCCCTGGGCTCATTAGCTCTTCCATTGTACCTGCCTCTCAGTGATCAACTCAGAGGGGGGCCAGAGCAGCTCTCTCTTTGAATCCTCAAAACACAAAGGGTCTTTCTTATGGTACCTCCTACCCCCCAAATTATCAAGGCTATTCACCCCACATTACCCTCCTGGGCAGATACCATAGTAGTTGGGGATCATTGATCCTCCTACAGAGACTTAGCTTTGCTGATTCCACATCAGTGCTGATAAAATAGCTAGCTAGCCCTTTTCTCTAAAAATGAATCTAAATAATTCATCGGTAACAGAGCACCCCTCTGGTGTCACCCCTCTGGTGCCTATATGTGTGTGGGCAGCAATATATAGAAATAGACTGTATTTTGTGGGGTTATCTACATGACCGGGTCACTCACTGTTTCATCTACATAACAAAAATTATTTGTTGGTTCAAAGCATCATGCCATGTGGGGATGACGAAGGTAGACAGAATCTAGGCCCAGACTTCAAAAGAGCTTTGACAATATTTTATTGTCTAATATTTTGAACTGTGAACTTCCACAGAAGAGACTTGACAGAGAGGGCAGAGAAAGAAGCATTGAGGGTGTTAGTAGTCATCTCGCTGCAGTGCTCAGTGATTACTATACCTGGTTTGACAACTGATGGACAGAGGGATAAAAATCTAACAACCTACCTACCCTCAGCTTGCTACATGACC